GACGTTCTGGCACTGTCAGATCTCACTGCTTAGCAGTGCTCACAGCCGTCTGTTCACACATGGAAAACTAAAACTGCTTGGGATAACTGTCACGTAAAACAACTTAATTCCTGAAGAATTAAAGTGGGACAGAAGAGGATGCTGACATTTATCTTCTCCTGTTAGGAGACACTCAGGTGCTCACAAGCCACACGCCCTCATTAGGGAGATGAAGGCTGAAGCCCAGGTTGGCTCTCAGCTCTCCGCCCTCACAGCTCCTGCTGCACACCTCCCCACACACAGGCACAGAAGCACTCGGATTCACGCTTCTGTCAGCACTGCCTGCTGCAGTTGCCTCCCCGTGACCTGCACGTCACACAGCAGGCAGCTATTACGTAGTTGTTATCTGTGATTAGTGGTGCTCTGCCACTGGGGTCCTGGGGTAAGGCAGTAAAACCATTCCACAAGAAACAGACGCTGAAAAGGAACCGTTCTCCATGTCTACACACAGACATTCTGTGCGCCCGCCTCTGGATGTCTGTGACCACCATCATGTGAGAACTACACCAGCCATACACGGCTGTGAAGTGCTCATCACTTCAGAAGTTCCACACAATAAAGGCATCAAATCGATGCAAATCAACACCTTTCACTTCCAAGGTTGCAATTTTTACCTTATAAAAGCTGACGTTACGCACCACACGAGCTGCACCTCCATGTGCCAGGCACCCGCCGCCCTTGGGTCTCAGCACCCAGAACCATGCACGACAGCTCCTGTTCAGCTCCATTTAATTGCACTTGTAGCCCCTGGAAAACTCAGCTGCAGGCACCGGGGGAAGCAGCGGCAGAACGAGGTCATCACACCGGCAACAAACAGGCTGCCCTGGGCTGGGGGTCCTGACCCTGGAGCTGTTCAGACCCCTGGGGACCTGGCACAGAGAGATGTGGGCAGTGGATCTCAGGGGGCTCTTCCAGCCTGAAAGGTTCTGTATTTCTGCCATTCTAATGTGATAAATAAGGTGTTTAAGCCCCTAGAAGCACGTTCTTCAGTGCTATTCTCAGTTCTCAAGCAGACTGTAGTGATTGGGACCTTTAGAGAACAGGCGAAGTATCAGTTTGATCTGACATTCTACCTGTATCTTTGACTGCTTTTCTCTGATCTGCCTTCTCCATTCCAATAAAGCCAGCATCCCATGAACCGCAGTCAGATTTGTTAACTTTTCCTTATTCGACTTAAGGAAAGCAGCCTCAGCTGCCCATTGGTTTTCACCTGGCCGTCTGAAATCACAACTGCCAAAAAGCTCCAACTTGCCAGACGGAGCGAAGGGCTCCTGCTCTAGGCAGGCCAGGCAGCAGGAACGTGTGACAAGAACCTGCCTCTGGGTAAACTACGCTCCAAAAAAGGCCACGGATCTGCAGGAAGAAAGATCCTTTACAAAAAAAGGAACACAAAGAAACAACCGACAACACTAAACACAGCTTTTCTGACACCTCCTTGCAATTCTCACTCCCTCCTCCTCCCCCCCTACACTTACTTAGTTACCACTTTGGTACAGAAAGCCTTTATTCCTCCTGTTCTTCAATAACAGGCAGCAAGTGCATCTGTGCTCCCAACCCACAGCCGTGCGAGTCCGGCTGCAGACAGGCTCTGCCTTCCAGCTGGACACGCTGCCGTGAGATCAGAAAACAGGAAGCAGGAGGAGAAATAAAAGCGCGCCTTGGCAGCCCGACGCCGTAACTCACACCTGTGACAGGGCTGCAGCTGCGAGGAGCGGGCGGCCTGGAACCGGAGCTGCCGGCCCGGCTCCGTTCCGCGCCCCGCGGCGCCTGGGAGCCGCCCGCTGCCACGCCGTGCCGGGCGGCGCCACACAGCCACCGGCCCAGCGCTCGGAATGGCCGCGAGATGGTCGCGGCACGTTACCCCACATCTGCAACTTGCCGCCCGTTTCCATGGGGACGGAGCGGAGCAGCCGCGGGCCGACCCGCCTCCCGGGGTGCGCGAGCACGGCGGCACCGAGCGGAGCGGAGGGACCCGGCGTGCGGGACGTGCGGGGCGGCCCGGCACCGAGCGGCACCGCGGGGCGGGCACCGAGCCAGCAACAGCCATCTACCGCCAGCAACGGTCCCCCAGTGCCCGGTCAGGGCTTGCTCCCACCTGAGCAAAGAGCTCCGTTTCTCGAGAGGGGCAGCCTGAACTCCCGCGGTCACATCGCCCAGCGCTGTGCTGCGTACCTCCGGCCTGCCGGAGCTGAGCTGCTGGGAGCCTCCATCAGGAGCGAGGCTGGGGAACGAGAAAGGTGAAGCCGGCAGAGCGCAGTGTCACAGGGCTGGCATGCAACCGCCGACGCAGACGGCGACAAAAACAATTAGGCTGCCACATTAACACCCCGTGAATCTGCTGCGAATGTGAGGCAGTGCCACCGCGTCGGCATGGAGCCCTGGGGTCGGCCCGGCTCAGCGCCAGCCGAAGGTAGAACAACGCCGGATGACTTTGCACGTTGCCCCTCGTGTGCTGTGCGCGGCCGTAGGAGCCCCTGAGATGGGAGGAGCCCCGGCCTGCTCGCACTTCGGGTATGGGGCACACACACACAGTGCTCTGCTCCCCCTGCCATGCACTTCTACTGCTCAGCTCAGCTCCCGAGCCCAGCTCATCTGTAAGCAGTCTAACATAGCTGCATTGAAGCATTCCTGTTAGCTTCACAACAGCAGTTTTCTGCATTTGGGAAAGCAAACAAACAAACCAACGACTTGTTTGTTCCTTTCCCAGAGTAAGGACAGAAAACACTTCCTGCCCCCATTAACGACAAAAACGTATAAGCCCCACAACACATGGATGCTGTGCAGGGAAACCTTAGTGCCTTTGCTCTGAAGGGAGCCCCGGGAGGGAATGGAGGCACCAGGCTGCACCACCTCTGCTTCTGAGAGCCAGCTCCTGGGCCAGGCAACAAGATTTCTAATGGCTTTCATGGTTATAAATAAGAAGTCCTACAAAACCCTTACAGAAAGGGATCCATTCTTCTCAATATGAAACAGTTCACAGAGTTAATGACCAACACACTGCCATACACGTGCAGGCTTCCTTCACCCCGCCTCAGCTGCAGCACATCGCAGCTTTGGGAGCACTCAGCCCTACAGGGTTGGGTTTGTTGGGTTTTTTAGATCTTTTATTTTTTTCCTTTATGTTTTTTTTCTCTTTTACACCCAATTGAGAAAATTAGGCTCAGCGTTGCCCAACACTTCTGGCACCACATCCCTGGGCAGCGGCACCCAAATGGACACATCTCTATCAGCTGCTGTCTGTGCACTGGAAGCACCCGGTGCCGATACTCACAAAGATGACAGAACCCATCTCTGCACGTACTGCTGCCTTCAGGAAGCAAACACCAGGCACGCTGCTGCCCTCCTATCGCAGTCAGCTTTTCAACATTTTGCATCCCAGCTCTGAAACCCTCAGAAATATTTCAAAGATTTTATCAGCAAACAGCAGAACACACGCTGCAGTCTCGCACAGCACCAGGAACACGAGCATCAGCAGGAGGCAGGGAGCCACTTCCCAGGGGGTTCGGATCAGCCCCAGCAGTGCTAACAGAAGCAGCTGCGTTGGGGCAGCACAGGGCACGGCACCCAGCATGAAGGCAGCGAGGAGCAGGATGCTGCTGGTCAGTGCCAGCCTGCTCCATGCAGGTGCTGCACAGCCCCAGCGCCCAGTTGGTGGCAGGAAGGCAGAGCAGGGCTGCACCACTGCTGCACCCAGCACTGCCTCGACCCCTGAAAAACAGCCAGATGTCCTGCAGAGAACAGGACACCATGCTGCCAGAGATGGAGGGAGCAGACAGGAGAAGCAAATGACAGACAGAGTTTTCCCTGAGAGTCACGACCTGCAGCGCTCCATGCCACAGTTAAGTGGAGCACAGCAGCCCAGGACCACAGACTGCAGTCACACAGCAGCACAGCATGGAGCAGCAGCAGAGGGCCAGAGTCGGGCAGGCAGCTCCCAGCCCAGAGCCCTGCTCGAGTCAGCCAGGCTAGGCAGCACCAAGCATTTCTATGCCCTAACCTGCACGTGGCAGCACACTGAGCTGAAGGCAATCTCTGGACCTTGTGTTATTACTCATGAGAATAAGCATTCACCTTCTCTTTACACACACCCTTCCACAACCGAAAGGAGTCGGATGCTGGCTTAGGGCAGCTGGGCTCCTGTACGTGCACCCGTGGGAAACCACAGGTTAAACGTCACGTCCTCACCTATTCATTTTTTATATCCTTTATTATTGTATTACTTAAAATCATCAGCACTGGCCGTCATTCCGCACAATGTCACACACAGAGCCGAAGTACTAACCGCCTTCTTTATCTCAGCAACTTACTGGGACGTCTTAAGGGATCTCCATAGCAACCATGCTGCGCAGCAAACAGGCGCGCAGCCGAACCGCACCACGGAGCGCAGCAGGCACGCGGAGCAGCAGTGCCGGTGAACATCGCAGAGCACCGCTCGCAATCCCCGTTATCAGCGCCAGCAGCGGTTCACCCACAGAGCTCCATTTCCCTGCACAGGCTGCGTGCAGGCGCAGCTCCGTCTGAATTCCGGAGCAAAGTCCCCACCTCGCACCGCTCACCGCTCCTGCCGCCGGCCCGCATCCACGGCCAAACCCTTTCACAACCCGCCGCGAAGCCGCGGGGCCGCGCGCGCAGGCAGCGCGGTGCCGGCCCCACACATGGCTACGGCAACTGACGGGAGCCGGGGGCCGGCGGTGACTCCGACACGCAGCTCCTCTCGGCCCAGCGGTAACGAGGACAAACGAGGGCGAATTACCGCCACGCCGGCGGCTCCCCGTGCCCGACGTACGGCCGCGGTGCTTCCCGGCGCCTCGCGCACCTCCCGCACGTCTCCCCGCACCGCCCCGCTCCAACTTTCCCTCCCGCGGCCCCGCGTCGCCGTTCCGACCCGAACTTTCCCGGCCCGCCCGGCTGCTCCCCGCGGATCCGCCGCGCCCCGCAACAGGTGCGGACGGGACGCTCACCGTCCTCCCGCTCGTCGAACACGGGTCTCTTGGAGGAGGAGGCGCTCGCTCCCATCCTCTTCTTCCACTTGCCCCAGTGGAACATCGGGCCGAGCGGATGGCATGCCCCGCGCGCCGCTCTCCGCCGAACGGCGGCTCCCGCGAGCGGGGACGAACGGCCCCGAGCCGCGCTCAGCCGCCCCGCGCGCCGCGGCCGACCGCCCGCATAGCAGCCCCGCTCCTCCTGCCCGCGGCGGCTGCCGCAGCGCGGGGCGGCGGGGACGGCGAGCGCGGCCGGGCGGGGCGGGGCGGGGCGGAGGAGGGCCGGGAGTGGCGGCACGCAGCGCCCCCGGCGGCGGCGGGAGGACAGCGGCGCTCCAGGTGCGGTGGGCGGCGCGGCGCGGGGCTGCCGCTCTGCTGAGCTTCTCGCCGCGGGCGCGCGCTGAGCGTGGCGGCACGCGGCCGCTGTGCGTGGAAGCGGGGCTCGCGCGGCTGGAATCGGTCGTCGCGAGCCGGCTCTGACCTGTAACCCGGCCGTCCGAAGGCAGCCGCGGGCGTTGTCCTTTTGGTAACAAAGTTGAAGCTTTTCTTGCACGGAAGTTCCCCAGAGTTTCAGAATCTCCTCACCGGAAAGATCTCTGTTGCCACGCTCTTAAGGATGTCCCATAGAAGCAACGCCCTGATGGGAAGTTGTGCCGAGGTCGGCAGAGGCCCCAGGTAGCAGTGATGAGCAGGATGAGAGGCGATGGCCTCACACTGCGCCATGGAGGGTCAGGTTGGTATCACAGCAATGTTGGCTCCAGAGAGCGGCCAGGTGCTGGCACAGCTGCCCAGGGGTGGGCAGTCCCTGTCCATGGAGGCGTTCAGAGCTGCAGGGATGTGGCACTGAGGGGACGTGGGCTGTGGGACTGTGGGGTTGGGGTCTCAAAGGTCTTTTCCAGCCTGCACTATTCTGTGATTCCGTTATTCTAAGCTCGGATTTGGGAAAGCCAACCAGGCCTTGAGCTTGCAGTGCAGGAGTGAAGTGGCTGATTCCACTTATCGCTGTAATGTGACACAGGTGCAACACAGAGCAACGTGGGTGTGCAGCAGAAATGCAAAGTCCCAGCCTGAAGTAGTGATGGAGCACCTGGTGGGGGGCAGGGCCAGCCCAGGGCAGCTCAGCTGCATGCAATGTACCTGATTGACAGGAAGGGCTGGAGCCAGGATCCGCCCCTTCCAGACCTCATGTAAGGGCTGGCAGCAGCACTGAGGGCGCCTTGCTGAAGGTCCCTGCCTGCCTGCAGTTTTTCCAAAGTTAACCAAGTTTTTTTCCTTTGCTTTTGTGTTTTCAGTTGTTGTGCTTCAGCTTGTTCTTTGTTGCAGCGTTGGTCTTCGTTACTCGGCTATTATTGCTGAATTTTCTATCATGTTTTAGTGTTTCAGGGTGCAATGCAAGGATTTAAATTAAATTAGGAAAATAAGCAGTGTTGAAGCGTCAGCTTTTCTACACGTGGCACACAGCCCTCCCAGCTGTGTGTGGAAGCTATAGCGAGGACACAGCTGTTGGTTCCACCTCTTATCCCTCCAGAAGGCGCAGCATGTACCTGACCTGACTTCACGGTTTCTAATTTAAGACTTGTGCTGTTTTCTTTTATGGCATGTCATGAAACAGGGATGTTGGTTACTGCACCCTTAGGGCAGGTGTGTCACAAGTCAGTCATTATTTAAAACTCTGAGAGTTGTACAAGGCTCAAAACTGGAGGGTGTAACTTACGAATATGTGGTTTTCTAAAGGCAAAGAATAGTTTTTAAGCACTATTTATGTGCAAAATCAAGAACAGCTCTCAGATAAAAGAAGAGAGCATGCTTACAGAAATGGTGATTTTTCTTTGTTTAGGGATCGTTTTGTTTTCTAAATATATTGCGGGTGTCTGAGGATCAGTTTTCACTCTTCTGTTCCTCTTTCTGTTGCAACCGGTAGGAGAAGCACAGAGGTGCCATTCTGTGGCTGTGCTCTGCCTTCCATCCTGTGCCACTTCTCTTTCTGCACTAATATTTGGGCCACCAAACCCATAGGCTGTACTCACGGTCTGTGAGGTTTGCAGGAGAGGAGTGGGAGGCAAGGACCTGACTGCATGGTAGGAGAGAGCCACCACCTTCCTTGGTTTTGTTACCTGAGGAGCTGGAGGTGCTGCAACGTTGTTTGTTTTTTTTTTTTTTTAATAACTGTTTTTGCTTCATTACAAGTGCAGTAATGAGTTTTACCTTCATGAGGACGCTTCAAATGGGAGGTAAACTGCTTTCCAGGCAGCTCACCACAGTGCTCCAACATGTCCTGGTGCGCGCCTGGGAATCCCAAGGCAATTTCTATCTAATTGTTATCCTCATGACAAGATCTGCCTGCCCATGAGGCCTATCCACTGCATAGCCAAGGAAATCAGAGTTTTAGTGCTGCTTTCCAAAGAAGTGAGCATCACATGCCGAATGCTGCCCACGGTCGCAGAGGCGTTTCTCTAGGCGCCCGCTTTGATTTGAGGTAGGATATTCTGGCTCTAAATAGCAAACCAGGTATTTGGAGCTGTTGTGCCATGCTGGCATGTCACGGGATCGTAGAATTAAGGTTGGGAAGGACCTCTAAGGTCGCCCAGGCCTGCAGCAATGCACAGGGTTGTTGTAACTGAAGCACAGGACCTGCCGCTCAGCCTTGGTAAAACTCCAACAACTGGCCTCAGTCCATCATCCAGCTCGTTTTGAGCTGTGACGTTACAGACTGTACCATGGATAAGAGGAGAAGTTTAGAAAGGTTCTCCCAGGGTTTTGTGATACAGCAGAGAATCCAGAATTTGTCTGGATTTTTTGTGATGTTCCAGTTGGAGAACCAATAGTTTTGCTTGTGCTCTTAAATCCCATCTGACAACATCTAAATGATAGAAAGGAGATGGTTACAGGGGAAATGAGACGTGAACGTTCACTTTGGAGAATTTGTGGAAGGGAAAGGGAGTAAAGCAGCACTGCTGCCATTAAACACAGTGTTATTCCATAGGCTCTGTGCTGCAGTGGTGGTCTCTCCTTTGGGCAGAGCTGCCCCAGTCACTCCTATTGCAGAAGTGACATTCACATGCTCAGTCTGTGGACATGCAGGGTGTTATGTGACCTTTGCAGTTTTCTTTCTGTTAACACCATTGCAAATAAGTTCTGATGTATTTTGCATTCTAACTCTCCTTGTACTCCTGAATAATTCAGAGCTAGCTCTATTGTTGTTTCCTCCTCTGTACCAGAACAAATGTGAAGGAGAAAATCCTTGCTGTCTTGGATCAGTTTCCCTATTTAAGAACCAGAGAATGCTGGATCACAATTACCCATGTACAATTACTTACAATGGTGCAAAATCCAGAAAAGCTGGATGTTACCTCCCTTTTTTCTCTGAGTGCAGTATTTGTCCTCACCCACAGTGCAGGGATGCTGGAGGTTCAAGCATGCAGGTCATCATTATTTCTGCAGCATTCTGTATGCGTGTTCTATTTCTGAAACTGGAAACGGGGTTCCCTTCCTGTTCCTTGGGCACATGAGCCTTGTGCCACTATTCACAGCCAGCGCAGTAACATGCAGGGAAGGATGTTCAGCCCTCAGGGGGCAGCTGCACTTCAGAGCAGGAGTGGCAGTGCAGATTGCCAACCACAGCAACTCGATTACAGTGATTTTGTGGAAGCGTCGTTCAGTAAGGGGTGTTAATCGTACTGGGAAAGAAAGAAAGGCGTATAAACTGCTCTGTAGTGGTCCAGTATAGGAAGGGGAAACAGGGAGAGAAGTCTGCCTTCTCACACACCCTGGTCTTTGTTTTTGAAATGAGGAGCCTTAATAAAAAGCTGGCTTGTAAGGTAGGTTATTCTTTCAGTCACCTCTGGCTGTGAGTCCCCCTCCAAGGGGAGGAGCGTGCAGGCGGGGTGACCAAAGAGGTTATCAGGAACAGGCTGTTCTCAGAATCACCAAGAAGTTGTTATTCCTTTTCCTATTTTTCCTCTTCCTGTCTTCTCTTTGTGTTTTATATTTTACTAAGAGCTGAGCATTTAAGCAGTGGAAGTTCTGGTTGCGTTGCATGCATGCCTGTTTGTTCCTGGAGCCTGTTACCAGCCAGTGGATGTGATGATTTCCATAAACAAGAGGTCAGCTGGAGGAGGTTCTGCTTGTAAGGAGTGAGAGGGAGGCAAAGCTCAGGCAAAGCAGCACTGCTGCTGTCAATGCTGTGCACAGCACCTGTGGCCCACGGTGCTGTGTGATGGTAGCAGCTGGGCAGGGTGGTGTGAGAGCTGCAGAGCAGGCAATGAGCCGCACTCCTGTCCTCTTACTGAGGAAATCTGATTCAAGTCTCTGCCACAGGTAGATGAACTGCGCTTCAAGGCGCACGATGGTAGAAAATCGGCTTAGAAAATCAAAGGTGATGGGGCTACCAAATAGACCAAGCATGAGATGCTACTTAGTCATGTTGCAGCCTTAGAAAGGTGAGGATTGTGTGGCTGTTCTGCCTGGATGGGTGCAAGGAGCGGCGTGCAGAAAGGCAAGGAGAGATTTGCAGCAGGCAGAGCAACGGCTCCGAAGAGTTTGTCTTCTCCTGTCTGTGTTTGCTTTTGCATATTGTTTTTTTTTCTCACTGATTTCAAGAGATTGGAGTTTCATTTCATCAGCTGGGATGCTACTCTTAAAAGCCTATGCCTGTAGCACACTGGGGGTGATGAAACATTGCTGTGCTTCTTAACATTCATGTGCCTTCCTTATGGAGAAGGAGGCTTTTTGTTTTGAAAATATCCCTTAAAAGAACGCAAATGTGCTTTTGGTACTGTGTGAGCAATTCAGCCTTTCACATTCTTAATGACTTTTTTCTGTTCATTCCCACTGCCCCTTGCTCTCTGTATTTGGGTCAATCCAGTGTTTCTCTAAGAGTGTGTGCTGGTAAGATTTACCATTAGAACTTAACGTTTCTTTTATGTGCTGGAGAAGGTTACAGAAAACAGGGGCTTTTCAAATGTTGTGCAGTGGTTCTTCAGAAAAATGAAGGGGAAAAAAGTTTGTTTACCAGCTTATCTGAACTCCAAGTAAAATGTGAGTAATACAGGTGCCTAGCAGTCTGAACAGATAACTGGGCAGAGCAAACACCTCTCTGAAGCTCAGCTGTCACTGATT